GCATTTCCTTACACTTCCTATTTTTTTTCTTCTTCTTTCTTTAATGTAGATCGCTCTGGCTCAGCAGGTTCACAAGCCACTGCTTCCTGTGTCGGTCCTGTCTGTAAAATGAAGGGTAGTGATCCAGCCATCTAAAATAGTACAGTACTGTAGAATATCTTCATTTTGGTATTATTCTCTGCCTCTGCTGCTTAACTGCTTTGCCAAATAGTTTCTCAGCTTGGTGTTCCTCCTACACATTTTAGCACCCTGATTGCAGGACACCTTAATGATGCCCTGCCATCACTAGCTGCTTGCAGAAACAAGGTCTAGCACCATGCCTGTAAGTCAGGTAAGTACTAGGCCTGAGTTACTAATGTGGAAACAAATACAGAGAGTAGTAGTGTTGGTCTGGAAATCTAGTAAGGGAGAAATGCCAACCTTTTTATCTGCTGTTCCCAAGCTTTAATTCAAAGCTGTCTTCCTCGGTTTATGATTTTAAAGTAGTTCACTATTTTGCCTCATTAATGCCTAATACTTGTTAATGCCTTATACTAATGGCAGAGGTATTCCACGGATACCTATATTTGCTATCAGTGCGCAGTAATTACTCTTGAGAGTTGGACTTTCAGTACAAATGACACACAGAATGAATCCTGCTGTAAACCAGACCTTGTTCCAACTTTTCCAGTGTTGCCTGCACTTCTAGTTGGGAGCTTGATTTCTTTGAACCTGTGGTCCCTACAATCAGCGTAGGCAGGTTTTGGTTGGTGTCATGACCGCCCGGTTGGAAACTGGTGTTCTGAAAAGCACTACAGAGTGGTGAGCAAACCGTCTCGATTCCCTGTGACGTAACTGAAAGCGTGATTAGACCAACGCTCAGGCTCAGACCTGCCTTTCAGAATCTTAGCATCATATATTTGAATTTTCCTGCATGAATTTTACTTCTGTTCCTCAGGATACGAAATAGGGAGTAGAGTTTGTCCTGCATGCTGCTGTTGTGCAGTAGCCATCTTCAAGTGACAAATAAAAATGAGAATCACCTTTGATAACTGGAAGAAGCTGAAGTAATTTAACAATCTCTTTTCTTTAAGCAAAGGAATTCCGTTCCCCTTATAATCCAGTTAGCTGACATAGTATCCCGGGTTTCTTCTGCTGTCCTGATGGAGCCTACAAAGTTCCAAGAGCAGAGAATGATTTCTGCCCCTGGCTGAAAATTAAATGGAAGTTCATTAGCTTGGAAGTGCTGGCTGACACCTTGCTGGGGGGAGGGGACCTGCTGTTGTATTTTTTGCATCCCTTGTGCCACTTTGGACTTCAGCAGTATTTATTTTTAGTACATTTAAACACTGCAGAAGGAAGGGGCAGTTGTAATATGGCATATTTACATCATGCTGTCAGTTCCTGGCAGCTTACTCGCCTGTCAGAGAACAGAACTAGTCCATTAAGGAGGTGAGTGCTACTTATGCCCACGAGTGGTGAAACATCGTCTCAAGGGTGGGAAGGCCTCCCTAGGCTAGCAGGTTGGTTTGTTTTTCTAAGGTGCATTATGGGGATTTTTTTTTTTTTTTTTCATGTCACAGAGACAGGAATGGGCTGTGCTACGTCCCACTTTTTCCTCCTTCTCCTCTACTCTGTATAGTAAAAAGAGAGGCAAAGTCTTTACAGGAGATCAGCATGTGCTGGCTTTTCCCCTCATGTCACGCTTAAGTTCTCTGCCCCGTTATAAAAATAAAAATCTATAAATACAAAAGAACAAATGCTGAGGGGGACAAACTGGACCTGCAGTTATGTGCATGTTGCCACTTGTTAGAAGTGTGCCTAGCCCCATTCCTCCCAGGCTTCATACATTCCCTGTTTCTGATGCTGTCAGCCTCTCAGGATGGGAAACATTGACAGATAGTCCTGGCTGGAGCTTTTTTTGCCCTGCCATAACATAATATTAATTGAGCTAGGGCTGAAATGATGTTGGGCTCATCTGCTGTTGAATTAGCTAGTGCCCCATTTATACATATTTTTTTCCTCTTTGAGGGGGAAAAAATAGTTGCTATGGGTTTTGCTACCACACTTTAATGTTGCAGTAATACCTTTCTCCTGGAATTAAGCAGTTTTTAGATCTGATCTCTCATATATGACATGCTGTCTCTGTTAGTTTCAAGCATAGGCACCCTATGATTTCCTTTTCTTGGAAACTGCTCTGTCTCAGCATGTGGGTAGGAGGCCATGTAAATAAATACCAACCACTTCTTAGCCTTCAGTAGGCATTTCCTTTTTCCTGGTGGCTACAGAAGAAACACTTTCTCACAGTTGGGCATCAAACATTTATAAAACTTTCCTGCTTGTGGAATTTTTGTTTAGACAATCAGATTCTTGGTATAGTTTTTTCATCAGTTTCTATTTTTACTCATCTGTGGTTGCTTGGTTTGTCAGTAAATAGTGTCTGTCAGAACGAACACTTCATCAGAAACTTATTAAATTTCTGATAATTGAATAGTAAATCATTATAAGCATATTCTGTAACAGTGAAAGATAAGTTTTAAAGGATAAAAATTAAGCTTATCTAGTTTTTTTCTTAGTTATGATAGAATAAATAACATTGATATTTCTGCCCAAAAGATTTTTTTAAAAATACATAACCTGTCTTAAATGTTTGAAATAGAAAACAAAGTATCTTACATTACCATGCAGTCCAGCTTTCAATTGAAAAAAATTATTTGCTTTTAATAGAAAGTTTAATATGTGTTCTCCTGAATTTATATGCTAGGATATTTTTCAAGTGTGTGTCACTTTGTCGTGGCAGCAAAGCTAACACACTGTTACCTTTTAAATGCTACCAGAACTATTTAGGACATAAGTTTATAATACCAAAACAGATCATATCATTAAAAATCAGTATTAGAGGACAGTGTACTGCTAATTTTTATCCATAAATATCTGATCTATAAGTTCTTTATTTAGTTTCATTTACTATTATTAATTTACTTTTTTATTGGTAAATTATGAATTTACTTTGCTTAGTTTTATTTATCTTAGTGGTAATACTTACTGAATGGATGACAGTATACTCTCCCCCTTTGGGGGAGAGCCCCAAAGGTTCAGAAAGTGGAAGCAGAATATAGATATGAACTGTGGTAAATGGCCATAGACTGGCACAGGACTAGACTCCTTCATCAGAATTGTTGTTAGATGAGAGAGTGAAGAATATACATATGTATGATCTTTTGTGGGTAATAATTTCTAGGATGGCTAAGCTGAGGTAGTTTGAAAATCCATCAGATACTTTTTATGTAATACTTCCACACTGGATTTGAGGACTTTTTTTATTCAACAAAACAAGACAGTAGAAACCATGCTTTTCCAGGAGGGCCTTTGAAATATGCTTTTTCCTTTACTGAGGCCTGTTATGACGCTGTCTAGGAAAGTGAGCCATTGTTGGACACGTCACTGTATTTTTATAGTTTCACTCTTAGGTACATTCTCATCCAGTTTAGTTTTGCAATCTGCTGAAGCTTAGCCAAGTTGAATTGCATCTGCCCTCGCAGTACACACATCTCAGTCTGGCTAGGACTTCTTCCAGTTCTGTGCAGTGGAAGTTACTTGTGTGTATTTCTTCTGGGAAATATGTTTTGAGAAAAACGAGTCCTCATTTGGTTTGTGCCTTTTGCCCTGTTTCATGGCATACAATAAACTACTATGACATGCGTATTTCTTTCTTGAGCCAGCCACTGTAAGCGATGTCCCAGTTCACAATTCTCCAGTAAGTGCAATGGGTGCTAGACTTTACAGCTAGTTCTGATGATGGCTAGACAGAGACTAGTCAGTCTTGCTTCATGTTGGCAGATAAGGGACTGTGAAGGAATCCTAAGCTTTCCAGCTTTGGTGATTTATTGAACTTCCGTAGAGTCATTGGGTAGCCAAATTCACGAGAACCCCATTTGGTATCCGCTGCACAAATTCCAGGGCATAAATCCTCTCCCCACTCCATTGCTGCCATGGTAATGGCACCAGCCTTAACAGTACCGTAATGGCCTTTGAAAGCTGTTAAACTCTGTACTGTGTTAGTACCCTTGTCAGCCATTTTATTGTGATGTGCAAAGCCAGAATGGGGGGATGAGGATGCAAGTGTTGCCCCTCTTGTCTTTGGATCGCTTCTACTTAGCATCAGGTGTATTTCCAAAGCAAAATGGAGAGGTTTGCCCTGGTTCATCCATCAGTATGAGGACTTCAAGGAAGTTTAACACAATGGGAACAGCTAATAATCTTAGGGCTTTTTTGTTCTGACATCATAAAGTATCTTGAAAGTGTTACTAGTCCTTAATTTGGAGTTACAGGTAGCAAGAAACCTAGAAAAGGTGAAATTATAGTGATTGTGCTGTAAATGAGAATGTGCTGTAAATGAGAGTTGTGTTGAAAATGCAAAAGGAGTTGGCTACAGCAAGAGTGAATAGATATTCCTCCTGTTTGGAAGCTGGTTAGATTAGAGTCTAGTTTTGTTTGTATATGGTACATATAAAACCTCGATGATGGTATGATTTTGATTTGTATGATTTTTGTATTTTCCACTGGAGGGATCATCAAATACCACCCCTAAATAATTAATAATAGTAATTCTAGATAGAGATGAATTTTATGTCACGGGTTACTCCAGTTGCTACGCAGACATGGTAGAAGAGTTCTGTATTGATTAGACACTTTCATTTTAGTTAAGTCTGACCCTTTTCTTTTTAGAATTCAGAGGAATGAAGAACAATTAATGTAGATGCTTATGTGTTCGAGATGGAATTTTTTTTATTAGGAAATGTTTTAAAAGGGTCAGTGAAAAACAGAACTGGAATTGAGGTTTCATTTCTGTTGCAGGTATGTCTATGAAAGATAAGCAGACATTTCAATTTTGGATATTCCCTTACGATAATAAATGTACTGAAGGCATTACCAGCTGAACAGAGCTTGCTGAGATCAGGCTTCTTTGAGACTTCTCACATAGTGTTGTTTTAATCTGTTGTTGGTTTTTTTTTTCCTAGGAAAAAGAGAAGAAGTATATGCTTCCTTTGGACAACTTGAAAGTGCGAGATGTTGAAAAGAGCTTCATGTCTAGCAAACATATCTTTGGATTGTTTAACACGGAGCAGAGGTAAGAAAATGTGCTATTCTGCAGATACTTCTATAAAACTGTATCTAGCGGAGCATTTTAATAACTGGGAGTGCAGTTCTGGTATTTCCACTATGTTGAGTGAACAAATATCTTGATACTCTTGATTTATCTGCCGCTTTGCTGTTGCATAACCATGGGATGAAAGGTTAGTGTCCTCCTAGCCACTCATGGGGTGAAACAGCTCCATGATTAGTCATCTAGTTCTTCTGTATGGCTGAATAATCATCTCCTGATCCTATTTTTGTTTTGTTTGGCAATCACCTAGGCTTACCAAAACATTCATGACTTCTGTACCTTGTGACCAGATTCAACTGGTGTAAATCACAAAAGCGTCATTGCTTTTCACTTTCTCCAGTGGAAAATCTTGCCTGTCTCTAATCTTGGGAGTCATTCTATTGTTTGTTTGGGTTTAAATACTGCTGAATGGAGAACAAATGAGATTCCTCTGCTTCCCTAATTAATTAGAATCTTTGCTTTGTAGTGTTTGCCTCATACTTTTCCTTTCAGACGCCATCCTCTGATTTAAGTGGTGTGGGTACTCTATGGAAGCCTACTCCTGATGCACAGCCAGTTCAGATTACTGTGCACAAGTAAGTCAAGGAAACATGACAACACTTAGACGTACAAGTGACATGTAAATTTTATTTTTTTTTACTGAAGAGGAGAGTTGCATTTGCAGCTGTCTCAGTGGAATTGCATTTCAGCAGATAAGGTGCAATTTCTGTAAGTTCTTTTTCAGGAGAATAAGTAAAATTAATTGCGGTGGTAGCATGGGTAGATGCCCTTGTTTTCCTCTTCTCTTCCGCTAAGTCCCTTCACACCTTCTCCCCCCTCGCATCGCCAAAGCTTGGCAATACATTCAGATGTTGTTCAGGATGATGAGGGCTGGATGTGGCTCCCTGCAGAGCCAGCTGTTGTTGCTTCTGAACTAGCCAGAAATAGTCCTTTCAAAAGCAAGGCATGCCCCTCCCTCCTGCAAAGCAAAAGCAAAACACAGGATTTCTGGGCTGTGAAGTTTCTGCTGGCCCCAGAAACATGAGGACACAACGTGAGTCTCACTCTGAACTACCCCATGAAGGCTTTGCCTACATCTGCTGACATCTCAGCTAGCCTACATGTGGACATTGTCTGCCAGGAGATGCCCTTTGAAAGTATGTCGCACACATACTTGCTGGGAATAAGATTTCAAACACTTGACCACTTGCATTTCTGGAGCACAGAAAAAAGCTTTGAAAAACTTTTTATGTTTTTAAAAACATAAATGATCTTCTGATGCTGGAAATTAATGTAATTCTGATTATTCTGCTATAGATGTGTGAATCGTCCCAACACTGCACCTACATCAGTCAAGAAAGCTAACTTTGTCCTGGTGGCTTGATATCAGCTGTACATATTAAGTTCCTTCCGTGAGAAATCTGTTAATTTTAGCTCGTTGTTTCTCCTTTGTTTTTGCTAATGGCTTTGAATATTTTCATCATCTTAAATATTAATCAGTGAACTGCTGTGAAAAATCCAAGAGAAGCATGCATTTCCATTGGCAAATTTGGGATTTATTTGGGTGTTATACATTCACATTTTCACTGCATCTCCTTACACACTGGACAACAAGGGTTTCAAAATCGGATTTCTAAAATGTTTGCCATATCTGTAATAACCCTGCCCATTTGGGCTGTGAGTAGACCCTCCAGCATCTGCAAGCTGCTCTAAAAACATCCTTATATCTATATGAACATGTTAAGACATGACAGCACAGTGATAAGATGACAAAATAACTTTGCCTTGGGAGAGGCTGTTTATGAAGGCAGTCTTCCAGCTTAAAAGGAGGCAGAACTTGTTCATGAAGAAATATTTATTGAATTCTAATTACAACGGCAATTCCTATGTTACTATAAAACAGCTGTTTTTTGATATTTCTAAAAATCTACCTGTTGGCCCAAATTGGTCAAAACAACTTTAGTATCACTTTCCAATGTTTCAATTCATAGATTGTGTCACAATTCATAGATTGTGTCAGCAGAAGAAGGGATACTGGGGCTTGAGTAAAGTGATCTGGCCCTCAACTGGGGACTGTGTTCCCTGTCCCACATTCTTAGGGAAACTGAAACAGGGAATCGGCAAAGATCTGTTGAAATAAGGAGTCTCGTTTTTGTTTTACTTTATGCTAATCTGTTGATTTCTGGTTTCTGAATGGGGGTGTGTGTGTGTGTGAATATGGCTTGCTTTTCAAAATTCATGTGCAAATTAACTTAGTTTCTGGTTGTATTTTTTTGGGGGGTGGTGTGGTTGGTTTTTTTAATTAAAAAAACCTTAGCAATTGACAAAGAAATCGGGTTTCTCTGTCTGAGTTTTCCCACTGAGGGTTCTGGTTATGGAACCGGTTTGCTGTTTAAGATGTAGATCATTAAAGAACAAAGGCAAAATCATCTGTTCCAGCTTCCATGGTAGCATGGAGATTATTCTGTATGTCTTTTTTTTTTTTTTTTTCCTTTTCATAATCTGCAGCATTTTTTTCATTGACTATGCAAACTTCCTTAATGTTCAATTAAAGTATTTTAATTTTCAAGCAAAATCCCTTTAGGAGAAGAATTTTAATGAGCTTGTTCTCTTTTTCATTCCCAGCCCCTCACTGCATAGGTATTTGCTACAGCCATATGTTTCTGATACTGTACATTTCAATAGTTTCCTGGATTATGCACGGCATTTTTTCCATTTATGAAAACCTTTCCAGTTCTGAAATATAGTTACCAGGAAAATGCTTGTTTCACTGCATAGAAGGAAAAACCATCTTGAGTTAGCTGAGGCTTGGGGATAGATGCAGAAGGAAACTAACAGTATCTGTCATTTTGATTTACTGCAGAAGTCAACAGTTCTCTGACAGGAATCAAATGTGACTTGGTAATGTACAGTAAATGGAGACTGTGACGATTGATTTCACAGTGAAGATAAATTCTCATGAAATGAACATAATTGTATGTTTATGAAAAGGCTGCATTGTGAAATAATTAAATTCTTTTCCTGTTACTTTCTAATTAAATTTTAAAAAGGGAAAAAAAAGGAAAACCTCTTGGTGTGAAATAGATATAGTATTGCTTAAAGAATGGGGGGGTAAGTTTTGTTTTTCAGCAAACTAAGTAATTTATTTAAAGTTTTTGAGTGGGCCCATCTACTTAATTTATAGATGCCATGGAAGACCTTTGGAGATAGACTCCTCTAGTTTACTTACCTTAGCAGTGTTAGATATTAAAACAAAATATATTAGAGTGAGTGCCCTTTGACTCCTGGATCATTTTTGGCTATGTCCCTCTACATGAGTCTGCCTTTAAGCAACTGAAGTTGAGCTGTAGGGTCAAGCAGTACATGTCTAAACCTAAAGCTGTCAAGAAAGCGAGTGCTATTTTGTGTTGACCATCCTTTTCTCCTCCACAGTAAACTGCTGGCAAGTCTTTTAGATTGGAAAAGAGATCAAGTATATTAAAAGTATTTGAAAATAATTATACTGTAGGAAAAAACCTAATGTTTGCAGTACCGCTGTAGAAAATAATGTGAAGTTGTGTAGATGTAGCCACTGATTGACTTTCCTAGGCAGAGCTAAGAATGGAGGAGAGAGGATTCTTGTCAGCGCCTGTGCTTACACACAGTAGATTAACCTGTGATGTCCTCATTGATGAATGTGTAAGATTCTTGTGCAGAGTTCAAGAACAAACAAAACAAATTCTGCCCATCCCAGAAAGTTTACTTTCCTTCTAGGATTTCATTCCAAACGCTTTGCTTATTCCCCACATATTTCCTGTAAAAATTATTTGCTGATTGGTGTTGCTTCTTTTACAATACTTAGGTATTGTAGTCTGGGACAAGAACTGTAGTCTTAAGTGTGCCTCCCTTTAGGACCTATGGAGTGGTCCCATCTCTCCCTAATTAAGAAGGGCAAGCAGTCATCATTTCTCATGATCTTGCCTGGTTGACTACAGGATCCACATGGCACTATTTTTCTAGATTCTGTGTCATTCTAAAGTAGTCCTTTGCCTTTGCAGTAGAGTAGTTGCACTTTTTTCCTGATTTATCAGTCAATAAATTATATTACTGTATTACAACTCTATCTAAATACTACTTCTCTTTTAAGTAAAGGAGGAGTGATGAGTAAAAACTCTCTTCTTTTGCTACAAGCAGAGAAAAAGCTTCCCTTCCACCTTTTCTCTAAGTCTGGAGAGATGAATTCTCTTTCTTTTGTGGGAGAAGAGATTCTACTAGGTAAAGATTTTTGGTGTGTTAAAATGGTAGTAGGCTGAAGTGTTTGAGTTGGTGAATTTTCAGGCCTTTCCTATTAATACTGAGAGTAGCAACCATACAATGAGGAAGAGTTACCTGGTGGAGAATCCCTTATCAGTAGTCTTTCTTATGTAGGAAGCTCTGTTCCTCTTCAGACTCATTCCTTTCCTTGAAGCCAAAGAAGCAGAACCAGTGTGTGAAATTCTCCCTTCCTTGCAGAGGAAGATGCCACCAAGTCTCTCTGTCTTTTACTTTCCTGCCCAACCAGGACCCAGATAGAACTGCCAGATGATAAATTTTAGCTACCAGGTCCTGCATACACTCTGACTGTCAGGAATCATATTGCACAAGAAACTGCGTTGTCTAGTAGGACCCAGGAAAGTATGCTATGTCTACTCAGTGAAAAGTATGACAGTGTTTATTTTGGGTGCGTGTTGTTGGCTGAGTGTTGCTCTAGAAGGGAATTGAGCACAAGTCTTCTCTGGGACTCCAAATGCACTAGAGCTTTAAGTAGTCAATTTCTTCTTATGGACAGCAACTGGTTAACTGCTATCCATATATAAGGGAAATTGGGCAAGAGCCAAAATAAAGGGAACTAGTGAAAGGAGACCGGGTCAGAGGAGGTGTTGGGTGGAAGCCAGGCTAAAGGAGAAAGCCTAAGATGAGATGTATGTTTAGTTACTGTTTTTGAATTACTCAGCTAAGCCCCAGGA